ACCGTAAGAAGAAAGCTTATGAAGAAGACCAGCATGCCAAACTTTATCAAACGTTTTAGAAATGTCAAGAGCGATGGCCTTAACCTCTCCACCTTTATCTAATGCGCGTTAAAACCTATCGGTTATTACTGATAGCAAATTAGCCGTAGAACGAGAAGATCGAAATCCATATTGATGATCAGAAAGGGCCATTAAAAAAATTAAAATTTTTTTTTAATGGCCCTAACATTAAGAGATGAAACCTTTTTTATGGACTGTGAAATTATCTATAACTAAATGATTGGTTTTTAAAATGTCCCCATAGACCACTTTTTCAAACCAGCTAGTTTAGTTTTTGTATCACTTAATTCAGTATTTTTTAGTTTTTCTTTCGTTATACAAAACCTTGCTAAAGTTATTTCTATTGTGTAAGAATAGTTTTTATAATGTAATGTTTAGAACTATAAAGAATATTTTATTATTTAAATCTTTTTAGGTAGGGATGTATAAAATAAGCAGTTATATCATTAAAAAAAAAACAAGAAAACTTGGCAAAGCAATTTAGTTCATTTTGAGAAAGCAAAGGCAAAAAGAACAGTAATTAATAAAATTGAAGAACCACTTAACAAGCTAATTAAAATTCCAAATGCACTAGTTGTTTTACGGAGGTTCACTTAATTGGCCTCTTTAGAAAAATCTGTTTTTGGAAGATGCAAAGTTATTGCCTGAGAAATAATTTCATTATGGACCAAACTGAGTTTTCCAGCAATAACATAAAAATCAGTTTCAAGAAAAGTTGAAAATTTAGTGAATAAATACCACAGAGATCAGAAGGCACATATAATTAGTATCAGGTATTATAATGAAATATTATTTGATATTAAAAATAAAAAAGTTGTATAGCTGAGTACTGAAGAAAAGAAATTTTACTTCAAAAATTGTTCCAACTCATCCATTTAAATGTATCAAAAATAAAGTAACTGTTATCAGCAAAACAATCCATCAAATAGAAATCACTGACTCTAGTAACAGAGAAAGAGAGACTGGCAATAATTTTTCCCCATCTACTAGCAATTTCAGTAAACCTAAAAGAAAAAGAAAATCTTCAACTGCTTCAGCTGTTTCTTTAGTAAAGAATGTAAAGCTAAGTACACACCAGAGCAAAAAAGTCATCAACTGTCAGAAGAAAGTATTAATATTGCAACTCCAACACAGGCAAGTATTTACAAAGCAGTTATGTAGCTGACAGAATCAATAAGGAATTAAAGAAAATTATAAAAAAATCTTTATGGGCACTACATTCTGATGGCAAGAAGATTAAACAGAAAGAAATGCAAGTTGTAGTCTTTAAAAAAAATGACCAGGAAATAAAGTTGGCAACCTTGCTTTTAGAGGATAGCAAAGCCAAAACAATTGTTTCAGCTTTGATTAATTTGTTAAATGAATTTGATATATGGGAAGTAATAAAAGAGATTATTTGTGACACAACAAACATAATCACTGGTGCAAAAGGCAGTGTTGTAGCATATTTAAAAAAAGAGTTTATAGCCAGGAATTTGAAAGCTCCACAATATATTGGTTGCCAGCAACACGTGTTAGATTTGTTATTGAAGCATGTTATGGATGAATTATTTGGAAGCAAAACATTGTCACCAATTATAAATTATTTTTTGTTGATGAACTGATACAAAAATATTATGTCTTGGTTAAAAGTTTCAAACAATCAACGTCAGTCATCAGCATACCAGCAGCGGTATGGCGAGATGACATGAAGTTTTTGTGTAAGCTACGGAATCGTTACAGGTATTATACGGAAAAATTTTTTTTGCCAAATTAATTTCAAGGCTCTTCCAATTATTAGTAATGCTAGATGGAATTCAAGAGGAATTATAGCATTACTGGCATTTATTTTATTGCCAGAACATTGGCAGCAACTGCAACCAACATGCAATTTTATTACTGGTGAATGTATGAATATCTGGTTTTCCAATCACTATAATAATAGAACAAACTATGACTTTTTATTAGCTGCAGTTAACTAGTATGCAAAAGCAAAAAAGTCTTTTTGAGGAAAAGTCTTTTTTGGTGTAATCAAGAATCTGTTATAAACACTGCAAGATACAATATTAGTGCAGAATGTACATAAAACAGTGCAAGAAATTATGGTTTATGTAAAAACAAAAAAAACAATCAATAAAAAACTTATTTTTTTGTAATAAAACTTAAAAGTTATACTGGTAATAATTTTGTAAGCATCTAGAATTTATCAGAAATACATATCTTTATATTGAAAAGGCTCAAAATCACTAAAAACTTTTTTTTGCTTTATGGGGGAAGTTTTTTAATTTTTTTTTTTAATTATAATTAAGATATCTTATATTTTTAATCTAAAACTCATTGTGTGGCACCATGGCCATACAAGATTTAAAAAAGGTTATCACCCTATTCCTCAGGCAATATTGTCATAGTTAATATGAATAAGTGAGTAGTATAGTTGTTTTAAATTACTTTTATTTAAATAATTTCTAGTCTTATTTAGGATTCCAATATTTTTTGCAATTTTTGTTGGTATATAATCAATATGAGTTTTCCATGACAAATTTTCATCAAGATAAATATCAAAGAGCTTGATAAAAGAATCTTCTTTAATTTCTACTATATCGATAAAAAATTCAGGTAAATCTTATCGCAAAAGACGTTTTTTTGTTGAGGAACGAAAAAGAATCCGTTTTGCTTTGTCAAAATTTAAGGTTAATATATTGCATTTAAACCAAGTAGAAATTTGTAAAAAGTTTGCGAAACGGTTACTTTATAAAAAATTATGCAAAAGAGCAGAAATTTGACATTTTGTTCTTCATAATAATAAAATTTATTTGAGAGGAGAGAGCTTAAAACATTTCGTTCTTCATAAAATTCATTTGAGAGAAGTTTTTAACGCAATTTAACTCTTGAAACTTAAGTCATTAAAGTGTATAAAATAAAAAATTTATAAATTATACACACACTTACTGTTAGTAAAAGTTTTATTGATGATTTACCCAACTCTCGTTCCACGCATATTTATTTATTTGTTGATTGCTCAACTTACTACGCGCTTTTGCTCAACTTACCCCGCAGGGGCAGGTTAAGTAGTTCCACAAACTAGGCAATATCTTCTCAAAAAAGTAAAAAAACTATACTTTTTTCTAAAAAATTTTTAGCAGGTTAACTTATCTTCCAAATATTGAAAAAATTATGTAAATTCGACGCACCGTTCATGAAGTCTGTTAGGTTTAGTAAAAATTGCTAATCTAGCCCCACTCTACCGTACGATTTTTCGTGCGTGATTTTTTTGGAATTACCCCCTGTAAATAGAGACTACTGACAATGTTATTAATTCAGTATCTAAACTGATTTCAGTGCTGTGGCATCCACCTTATGAGCAGCCGTGGCGCAGTGGTTAAAGGCCTTGCTTTAGAAGCAAGAGATACAGGGTTCGAAGTAAGCTCTGGGCTTATTGTGCACCATTGGTAAGAAAAGAGCCGTCAACCTTCTAATTAAATGCTCTTCTAGTTATGCATTCTGTGATAAGACCTTGTCTTCTTGGGCACCTAAAACAAAAATTAAAAAAATGACGATAAAGATTTACACTATAAATTTACACTATAATTACAGATTGCACTATGTATCATAGAGTTACAGCAATTGTTTAAATGCAGTTCATGTATAAATACGCACGGATGTTGCAAATTTGTCGAGTTCACGTAGCTAGTTTTATGAAAATAAATTGCTTGTGAATATTTTAAATGAAATATTATATCCATAAAACTCATATATATATACAATAAGTAATATCAGAAAATAGAAAAGTTTAGCAAATCATTGAATATTTTTAAAACTATAACGACATTAACACAAAAAGTGATAAAAATACACACATTTAAACATTCAAGCAGCCTAAAACACGATAAAAATATTTGTGTTTACATCAAATTAACCACAAACAAATATTCTTAGTAGAATTTTTAGTAAAATCGCTTTTAGTAGATAAAACTCTTTTTTTTATTAGTTACTTAGTTTTAAAATTTTTATTGTTAAAGTATTAATTGTTAAAGTACCAAAATTTATTTTTTATAAAAATAAATTTTGATATACAGTTCTTACAAGAATTACAAGAATTTTAGAATTAATTAGTCACAAATAAAGTGCTTTAATTAACAAAAAAAAAAAAAAAAAAAAAAAAATTGCTTATTTAAATAATAGAATTCAGCAATGAGAACTATCGGTCAAGAAATATAGCACCTCAATTATAGCTAATAATTTTAATAATGGAAATTGTCAGGATTAGATGTGGTGTAGCTTTTGCCTCCTAAGTAAGAAGTTCTGAGTTCGATTCCGACCAAACAGTAAGGACCAACGTCCTTGTCCAAACAGTAAGGATATAATGGTCCCACACTGATCCTGTGTAGGCTGTCGCGCAAGACCATTTGCGGCTGCCGATGTTGGTAAAACTTCATTTCGTTCTAAGGATTTTTTTAAAGACCAGCTATGGTCCATGAAAATTGCCGTGGCGTGAGTAGCCAGTGATAACAACATAGCGGCTAGCCACTGCAGAACAAGAGCATCGCGTAACAGCAATTAATCAGGAAGTTCACGCCTCCATTTTTTTTTTTTAATTTTTTTACCGATGATGCATATATGGCCAGAGACAGCTTCAAACCAAGGACCTCCATTTTTAAACCATAACTCTAACCACTGCTGCTATAACTGCTATAACTATTGGAAAAAACTTTTAGGTGTAAAAAAAGTGCGATATAGTTCTCTATATAGTTACTATAAATTGTAACTATATAGAGAGCTTTTATCTCAACTGAAACGGCAATTCAATTAGTGTTCAACTTTAGCAATATTTTTAATGACTAATTATGTCTCTATACTACAAGAAAAAATCACGAAACTACATTTAATATAACTTTTTAAATATTTAATTGCTTTATAGGAGCCCCTAAAAACAGAATTTTTGGCAATTAATTAGACTTCAATTAATAAAATCTTTATCTTTTTTTATTTTATGTGCAACGAAAGTGATTTACGATATCATTACAAAAGCTTTAGCGCATTAGATGCAGTCTACGAACTAAGCACATAATATAGTATACAGGCAATAATTTCTGTGATACGAACCGTCCCTGTGTTCAACCTAGGACAAAAGGTTCATGGACTTTCTATACTCTTTTGAAACGCGAGAAGTACGGTTTTTGATTGTATGAAAAATTTGTAAATAAATTCTATAAAACGTGTTAATAATTCCAACATTTAATTGAATTATCAGATTTAAATCTGACACATTAAACGAACCGGATTTTAAAAAAGGCTTTTTTTGGAAATAGTCATTCTTCATTTATTTGAAAGAAGACGGTGGCGGCGACAGAAGTATTGTGTCTTTAAAACGAGAATCTGTTTGACTGTTTAACTCGTGCATAGTATCTTTAAACCTTGAATCTATTTGACTATTTAACTCGTGTTCAGCATTAATGATTAAGCTTTCGTTACTAGTTCTTCGCGCTTCACGGAGTACATTAACAACTCGGTTTAAATCCTTATGACTTTGAAAAACTTCATTCGTTCGGTTAAACGCTACAAGAAGAATACCGTGGATAATAAATACCGCTCGAAAAATGTAATGACCGACAATTCGGATGAAAGTACTAAGGAAGACACAAAGTCCACCAATGTATGCAAACGCTAAAAAGAAATTTTTGAATAATCTAACTCTTTTTATTTAATTAAACAAAAATGTTTTCAGGGAACCTTACGAAAGTTCAAAGAGTTTTATGAGAACTATATTTTTCCTTGGATAGCAAAAGCTGTAAACTGCAAGCAGTATGCATATTTTACAGTAAAGTAAAACAGAGGGCTTTGTTTATACATGGAGATATAAAAAAGATGGAGGTTAATTGAGCCGCAAACATTTAAGTTGCGGTAAAATGCCTAACATGCATTCACTGAAAGCTTCACTGGATAAAAATTCAGTGAAATGATTTTATTAAAACTTAAAAAAATTGATATTCTATGGATATAATACTTAGTTACAAGTTTATAATTTTACATCTTCATGCTATGCATGTTTAATAATTATTGACCAACAGTTAAAACAACAGTAAAAGCTAAATTATTACAGTCAAAAAGATCATTCTCCAGTACGGAAAATAATTTTCTGCCATAAATTCTTTCTTTATTTAGAGAAATTAATTTCCTCAAATTAAGTGATTAACTCCTTAAAGAGAGCAAAATGAACCCCCCCCCCCCTTCCCACAAAATAAAGTCGCATTAGAATTTTAAAATGACCCCCACAAAATAAAGTCACATTAGAATTATAAGGTTCTATATGCCTTTTTTATGTTAAAAGAATGTAACAATTAAAGTTTCAATTAATAACAATAATAAAAATAAAGAACTTAAAAAATATTATGAATAATACTTTATGTTTAATAATGAACCAAAATAACATAAACGACTTATAACTTATAATTATAAAGAATAACAAAATTAAAACAATTTAATAATTATATACCAAAAGTTAAGTTTTCACAACACAGATAGAACCCTATAATTCTCATGCGACGATATTTCTTTAAATCAAGAGAATTCCATCATGGCGGTTAAACAAGGAAGTATTAAAAAATTAAAACAAAAAGAAAAACAGAATCATTATAGTTTTATTATAACAAGGGAAACTTAGCGACCTTTACCATTGTAATATATCGATTCAAGTTTTTATACTTTTCTTTTAGGTTTTATTTTTATTTGACCTTCCATTCATTGGTAAAGTTTAGAAAGCAACAGACAATATTCCAATAGAGTTAAGATAGCAACAAATCGCAGTCATATTAGACTGCATATATTATTATAATAACTGAAACATTATTCTTAAAAAAAATCTTACAGCAAATGACTTTAGGTTTTACATTTTATAACTAAATTTAATTCATTTACAGTTAATAATAGACAGCATACTATTGGTTTGTGTAAGTTTTTTTATTCAAATAAATTAGTTGATAGTACCATGGTAAGTTTTTGTCAAAAAACACTCCAAGATTTTTTCAGTTAAATCTCATTTTCATATTATCAAAAAAAAAAATTTTAATTATATATATCATCATAACTCCATCATTGCTCATAATACATTTAAAATCCATTCAATTTGGAGTTGAAAAAAAAGTTTTAGGCATTTTGCTGTCACCATTTTTTTGTTGATATCTGAATATTGTATGACAACCCATTATACTTTTATTAAGTTACTTAAATATAACTGGTTGCATGTGTCTAAGGACAGTTTCGAAGTTATGTCCCCAAACATTTCAACCAGTTGAACACATCATCTTAATTATATTTCCATGATTTGGGGAGATAAAACACAGGGGAACAGTAAAACATAATTTTTGAACTTACTTGTGAGAAATTCGGCTGCACTCATATTGTAGTTGAATATGCAGAAAGCTCCCTATAGAATGGACTATTGTGAAGATTAAAAATGAAGTTTAAGTATTTCTAATAAAAACATATAATACCCAAACAGTGCATAAACAGTGCATATATTACAAAAACATAGCTCATACACTTTATTAAACACATATTTTGCACATAAATAAATACAAAATTCATTACAGTTTATATACTGCATATTGCAAACATTACTTATATATTGCACACATTACTTATATAATGCACACATTACTAATATATTTCACACATTACTTATACATTGCACATATTACAAATATATTATCTAGTCTATTGACAAACTACATCAATTTCCAAAAAAAACTTAGTAATTATATGTTTTTTTTTTGTTTGTTTTTTTAAATTTGATTCACTTCCAACAAGACTGCAAGCAACAACTATAAAGTTGGGAGTTACTAGAAAAAAAGAATAGAGTTACAGAGCAAGGAAACGGTTGACAGAAGACTTAAAAAGTTAAAGGTTGTATGGAAAATATGAAGTTGAGAGCTCCAAAGAGTTGCAAAGAAATAAATTAGATGAATAAAACTTTTAGAGCATGCAGGGACATATACAGTAAAAGAATATTCAGAAAAGAGACTTTGTTCAATTACGAGTACAGCAAGAAGTTTTAGTTGATGGAACTAGAGATGACAGCTTTTTTGAGCAGCGACCATGATAGTATTTGTAGAAAAGAGAAAGAGATACAAATTACGGTGATGGGAAAGAGGCTAAAGCTTGGCAGATAGACCGGGTCCAACAACTATGTTTACATTGCGTCTTTAGACCTTGTCTAGAAGAGAAAAAGCATCACTAAAAGAGCCAGCAAAATTATGACAACAGTATTCCATACAGGAACGAAAAAGGGATTTGTAGAGGTAGAGAACGGTGAGCCTAATAAAGAGAAGCAACCTTAGCAGATGCTAATTTAGCAATCGATTGTATATATGGTTTCGATGAAAAGTCAGTTGAAATCGATAACTTAAGAAAACATAAAAAAGAGGTCTTATTGAGAGGGTTGCCATTCATTAATATAAGAACGTTGATAGTACTGCAATGTTGTTTGCATAATGAAGTTGTTTGTAAATAACTGAGTTTTGTTAGAGTTAAAAAATTACAAGCCATTGTGAGCTGTCAATCTGTTACAAAAGTGAGATCAGATTCAAAATTGGCTGCCTGTTCTAAGCGATTGAAAAAAGAAGACTTTTTGTCAAGACAGGAGTATAAAGTTGAGTTGTCAGCAAGAAGAGCTACTTTAAATATAAAGTTGTTGGGAAGATCATTAATGTAAATAAGGAACAAAACAGGATCTATCAACTAATGATAGAACCTAAGGAACAAAAATAAGGAACAAAACAAATGATAGAACCTTGAGGTACTCCAGAAGTTACTGGAAATAAAGAAGAGTGTAATGATGGAAATAAAGAAGAGTGTTGGCCTTTAAGGATGACTTATATATGGCATTAGATGGGAGGCAGAGAGGCTAGGGCAATAGCCCTAGCTTCTCTGCTTCCATCTAATGCACAATAAAATCTTTAAGTCACAACAGTTAGCAAGTCAGCTGTAAAGCCAGGATCGAAAACCATATTGGTTGTCTGACAGTAAATTATATGACTTAAGATGGGATGTGAGAAATTTGTTGCTGAAAGAGAAAAGCTTTGCTAATAACAGAAAGAAGACTTTAAACAATATTTGGAGCGGTCAGAATGTTCATCAGACTTTTTGAAAATTGGAACAACAGATGTCATTTTCCAGCAGACAGGAAAACAAGACTTAGTCAAGTATTTATTAAATAGTTTTGAGAGAATTGAAGATAGTTCTGGAGAACAATTTTGTCAGGACCACAACCACAAGTCATATCTGCATTAAACTCTTCACAAGCTGTAGAAGAGTTTAATGCAGATATGACTTTAGCAACAGAAGCTGGAGTGATTTGAATGTCTAACAATGGGTTAACCTGTTTAATCGGAGAGAAAATGGCCATAAGATTCAAAAGTTGATTTAGAAAAGTTCTTTGAAAGTTGCCTTTATTTTGTTATATCTGACATTATTTTTGTTACTAATTGTATAACAAATATATTCATTTCATAAGAGTTTTACATTTAATTCATTTTTTTCAAGAAAATAAAATAAAAATCATTTAAAGTTACTATAAAAAATTTTTTGGCTTAAAAATCATTATTTATTACTTGTTAATTACAAGATATTTTAAGTTCAAAATTTTTATTATTTTTAATTTTCAGTTTAAATTTTAATATTTAGTTTAAATTAAGTTATGACTTGAAATAAAAATGTCTGGTAAAGAAAAAACTTGCTCTTTGGTTGTAGTTTGAAGAAACCTACAAAATTTGAAAAAGGCTGTAGTGTGTCAAGGACTAGTAGCTTAAATTAGAAACTACAGAAATATTGGTAAATGCAATATTTTAAAGAATATTAAAAGTGATGAGAACATTCTTAACTCATATATTCTACAGTATATTAACATTTGTAAAGATACTGTAGAAAATAACTAACAGACAACTGAAGAAGCACAAACTAATCCCGAATCTCGTTAATCTGCTGGAGAAAAAGCAAGCTTTTTGTGTTTCTTATTAAAAGCTGTGATAAGAACAAACAGTGTCAAAACAGTGGCAACTAACAATGAAAATAGTTCTCATACATCAAAACCACTATATCTGAAAAAGAAGCTATTGATAAGCAGACTATAAAAATGATTAATGATACCAATTTGCCTTTCAAAATGATTCACAATTAAGTTCATTGAATTAATAAATTTCTTGTGCCACGGATGTAACCCTTTTAAGAGAATTGATTTCTGTGAAATTTACTAGATAAGTTATTGATATATAAAATATTGACAAGAACAGCTTAAACACCTGCTTAAGTTTATTTCATGATCAGCCCCTTAATGTATTGGTAAGTGATGTCCATAAGCCAGTAAATTGTACAACAGTACAATTTAGTGGCTTATGGACATCACTCATCAATACACTAAAAATCCTGTCATCCACATACTTCTGTTTTGTTGATTTAGTTACTGAAAAATATTCAAAAAAAATTATTATCTAAACATAACCAAGATGCTAGGAAATAATTAAGCAAAAAGAAAGTAATGAAAGGTTATTTTAAAATTTTGTAAATCTCAAATACAGGTAGGTAGACATAACAAAGAAATAGAGATTGCAATGAATTTAGTGGCTTCAAAAACTTTCTTTGACTTTTGTTTGATTTTAAAGCAGATGTACCATTGAAAAAATTTATTTTCTAAGATAACATTATTCAAATCTTGTGATTTATAAACCAGAAATTACTGGAAAATTTTTATCAGTTATTTACTGATGTTGTCTGGCTTTCATAATATGATCTTGATGATTCAAAAAGCAAACTGTTTTTCCTATTTAAATTAACCAGAAAGTGCTGCATTTATAGGAGTGAAACTTTGAAAATTTGTAATTATATTATAATTAACAGTAACAATATTACATTATAATTATAATATAACCTTGTCAATTTATATCTGTATAAATCAACATTGAAAAATTTGTAAAATGTTTCAAATTAATTTAATTATGACTTTATAATATTTTTTTACTTAAATTAGTATTAAAATTACCTGTATGTGATTAAAAATTAACTGTATGCAGTTTTTATTTTAAAAATATTAGGATATCTAAATTGAATAATAGAAAATTTTTTGGATTTTATCTTTTAAAAAGTCATGATTTTTATCAATCTTTTCACACAAGTGAATATTTATTTTTTCAAATTCCAAATCCAAATAGGTAATAAAATTTTTTGAAATATAAAATATAAATTAAAATAACTAGATTCAAAAATTAAAGTCTTGATAACTTACATAATACAGTTATATATTGTATAATACAGTTATATATTGCATAATACAGTTATATACTGCATAACACAGTAAAATACTGCACAATACAGTCATATATTGCATAATAGAGTTATGTACTGCATAATACATTTATATATTGCATGATACAGTTATATATTGCATGCATAAATCATAATCACTATCTATTGGATGCATATATCTACTCTGCCTACCTACAATTTTCTCATAAAATCCTCATATTATAAAATCATAAAATCAAAATTAATCATAAAACTTCATTGAACTTTAGGAATAAACATTTATTGAGCAAAATAAACCTTATTTTTAATAAAACACATAATTTCTACTTGTAATCATAAATCTTTATTACCCATATATTGAGCACAAAAATCTGCATTAACTACACATCTTCATTACATATTACAACCATAAACATATTTTGGTTACCTTATATGCAGACTTAAGATTTTGGACCATGTTACACGTGAATAAATCAGTTCTTGTCAAATTGTTATAACAAGTTTTAATACCATCAAATGAACATGTTTCACAAGAATAGCATTGCACCTTTATTAAAATATTTAAACATTTTTTTCAATAAAGTTAAAAAAATTTGATATTGCATTAGGATTAAAAATAATAAAATACCTGATTAGTAATTTGACAAATTTGCATAGTATCACTATATCTTTTAAAACAAGCCCATGAAATATACATTTTTGTAAACCACATTAGCATTGATGTAAAGATTATAAAGTATACAGCAATAAAGTTAAATATCACATGAACTGGACCCAAATGGCGAATAGGAATAGTAGACTGAATAAAAAAAAAAAAATGCAACTTAAGTAAAAATCAAAACAAAAACAGCAACAAAAAAACAACAAAAAACAAAAAATTTCATGAGTTCAAGTTTATAAAAATCAGCAAACAATGTTGATAAAAAAAAATCAATGTTTTATTTTTTTTTTTCTTCTCTATTCTTAATCAAAATAACTAAATATAAAATAAATAAAAAAAAAAAAAAAAATTCAAATTTTAAATTTCAAAAAAACATAATATTATTTGAAATTATAACCAACTAATTGAGACAATAAAACTTGTCATATAATTATAACTTAAGTAATTTAAATAATTATATCAAAAACATTAAAATAAAATATAAATATTTAACTTCTACTTGGGTTTAAAAATGTAAACTTCTGATTTAACATGACGTTCAACTAATACCTTTGATGCATGAATCAAAGCTTCTTTATTATTAACAATAGTATGTATGTATTATTACTATTAAGAGTAGTATGTAGATTTATATACCTGACAACTACTCTAAGTTTCCAAGTTTTTTTTTTGTTGACAAATTTAGTTTTATTTCTATATTATTAAATAAGATTTGTAAAAAAATAAATATTGAAATAATATTTTTGTTTAGACGATTTATTTTTATTTATTTAGAAAGTATTAAATATATTAAATATATTTAAACTTTCATACAATTTTCTAATGTACTCTAATCAATAATAGAAAATATGGACTTTTTCATATATGAATTTTTAAAATATAATTTTATTTGAAAATATTTTTTTTTTTTTATTACTTTAATTATTATTTTACTTGCTCTTCTTTTTATAGAATTCTTAAAGAAAAAAAAAAAGCTAGAACTGTGAATAAAAGTTAATCAACTTTATTGCATTTAAGGAATATTTTTATCCGCTCTTCACAAACTTTCAGGTGATCATAAGTGTACTCCTCTGTATGTGTATATATATATATATATATATATATATATATATATATATATATATATATATATATATATATATATATATATATATATATATATATATATATATGTTCTGCTGCCTTGCAGGATTGCCATGTTCTGCTGCCTTGCAGGATTTGCTATCTAAGCAAAGGCTGGAAGGAGTGTTCTTCCTGTCATCAGTACTATCTTATATCAGTCATGCCTATAGTAATTTTTTTTTTTTTTTTCCCCATATAATAGGAGGTGCCTTAGTTACTGTATTAGCTCACCTGTAATCTACGTTATATGTATGTTTGTGTTCTGTCTGAACCTCTGGCGCGGTGTTCGCTTACCCGTAAGTTACTTTATGTTCTTTATGTATGTCTGTGTTCTGTCTGAACCTCTGGCGCCGTGTTCGCTCACCCGTAAGTTACTTTATGTTTATGTTTATGTTTTTTATGTTTTTTTATGTATGTTTAGGTTCTGTCTGAACCTCTGGCGCGGTGTTCGCTCACCCGTAATTTACTTTATGTTTTTTATGTATGTTTGTGTTCTGTCTGAACCTCTGGCGCGGTGTTGACTCACCTGTAAGTTGATTTATGTTTATGTTTGTTTGTGTTCTGTTTATACTCTAATGCAGCGTGAGCTCAGTAACTAACTACTTACTCCAACTACAAAACGTACACTCACCTTAGACTCCTGTATTTTGTTAGATGCAGTGTTTTTCCTTATGCACTTCCAAAATGTCATGCCTGGTTTTCTCAAAGTACTGTTGCGGGAAGTAGCTCCTTTTAACTACTCCAGGTCAGGTCAGGATAATCGAGATCAATCTTGCTACTAGTATCACCTAACTCAGTACCACCTGCCACAAGCCCTGCTGCCTTGCAGAGTGTGCTCTTCTTATGCAAAGGCTAGGAGAAATAAACTCCGACTAAAAATTCCCCTGCCTTGGGGCTCTTGGTTGAGTAAAGGCTAGAGATGGTGTCTCAATAAAAACACTCATCTTGGGCAGATGTTAACTGCATCCAGCTAAACATCCCCTGCCTTGGGGCTCTTGGTTGAGTTAAGGCTAGAGATGGTGTCTCGATAAAAATACTCATCTTGGGCAGATGTTAACTTCATCCTGCTACTGTCTTGTAGAAGGCCTCCTAGGCAAAGACTTCAGGGGTAAGCAGAAAAATTCTGCAAACCAGCCTCGAACCCCTTCTTCATCTATTAGGCTGGCGTAGATGTAACCTGTGTTACATTGTTTCCTGCCTAGGATGATGAATGCTGGATCTCCTTGACTCTACTCATAGAATTTTGCTTATGCCTCCTTGATAATGGCTATGCAACTCTTCCTGTTATCTCCATATGAGGGTACAGCTCTAAAACTCAGTTTAATGGTTCTGAGGCCGGCTGGTAGTAAGGTTTCCCGAACTCTGTGGTAGCTCTCAGAGAGGCTGATTCCATCAACAGCTGCAAAATATCAGAGTATTAACAGTGCCATGTTTTGCATGGATGGTGTCCCTGTTAATGCTTTTGGTGTGCATTGTCAAGGCCACATAAGGAGCCCTATGTCACGGCTTAGGGTTAATTAACAGGACTGAGACAACTGCATAGCTCATTGATTAGGAGGCTGTGCTCTATCTATGAATGAGTCAAGTTCTCATTAAACCCAAATCATGACCAAAGTAACAAAAAATTTAAAACCTAAAAAACCATCCCCACCACCTAAATATTTTAATATATCTTTTACAAATATTCGCGGTCTACGAAGCAACTTTCCATCAGTTGAGTCTTACCTCCTGCAAAATTCACCAGACTTGCTTGCACTCAGTGAAACAAATTTAAGTTCTGCAATTCCTTCTTCAGATGTCAGTGTTGATGGGTACTATCCTTTGATTCGTAAAGACTCCAATAGTCACATGCTAGGTTTAGGGGTACACATACGCATTAATTCCCCTATTTGTCGTGAAATTAGGTTCGAATCCTTTGACCATTCTTTTATGTGCTTTCGCCTAGCACCTCTTCACTCTATCACCTTTCTCTTTGTTCTTTATCGTTCTCCTTCTTCCCATGATTGCACTCTTTTAGATGTTATCTCTGATCAAATTGACCATGCCCTCTCTCTTTACCCCTCTGCCAATATTGTTGTTATTGGTGATTTTAATGCCCATCACACTGAATGGCTTGGCTCTAACACCACTGATCCTGCTGGCACTAAAGTCTTTAACTTCTGCGTTTCTCAATCTCTTACTCAGATAGTTAACTTTGTGACTCGTTTTCCTGACAACCCTAATCATTTACCTTCACTCCTTGACTTGTGTCTTGTCTCTGACCCTAGCTTATGTTCAGTTTCTCCCTTTTCTCCCTTAGGTGGTTCTGACCATGCAATGATCTCTATAAATCTTTCTTCTCGTACTTCTTTTTTGGGCTCACCTTATCATCGCACCACCTACTACTACCCTAAAGCTGATTGGGATTCCTTTCGTGATTTCTTCGTGATGGTCTTTGGGCTGATGTTTTTTCTCTCTCAGCTGACAAATGCGCCTCCTACGTAACCTCCTGGATTCAGGCTGGAATGGAAGCTTTTATTCCTTCTCGTCGGTTTCAAGTCAAGCCTCACTCTACTCCATGGTTTTCTCCTTCTTGTGCGGCTGCTATATCCAATCGTAACCATTTTTTTCATCTTTTTCAAAAGAACAACTCTCTTGAGAACAAACGGCTATTTATTATTGCAAGAAATTAATGTAAAAAGGTGCTTTCTGATGCTAAACTCCATTATTCTCAGTTCACTAAATCTCGCATCTTATCGCAGAAGTTAGGCTCTAAAGACTTTTGGAAAATCTTCAACAGCATTGTTAACAAGGGTAGATCTAACATTCCATCTCTCATTTATGGGACTGATCTTGTTACCTCTCCCAGGGATAAGGCAGAACTGTTTGCAAAGAACTTTTCTTCTAATTCCACTCTTGAATCTTATGGACATTCTCTTCCTTCCATTCCATTCAAACAGGTTGACCCATTGTTAGACATTCAAATCACTCCGGCTTCTGTTGCTAAAGTCATATCTCAATTAAACTTGTCTACAGCTTGTGGTCCAGACAACATTCCTGTCACAGTCTTGCAGAATTGTTCTCCAGAACTTTCTTCAATTCTCTCTAAACTATTTAACAAGTGTTTGACTGAGTCTTGTTTTCCTGCTTGTTGGAAAATGGCATCTGTGGTTCCAATATTCAAAAACTCTGGAGAAAATTCTGACCCCTCCAATTATCGTCCGATCAGTCTTCTTTCTGTTATTAGCAAGGTCTTTGAGTCTTTGATCAACAAATTCCTCACATCTCATCTTGAGTCAAATAAACTGCTGTCAGACAATCAATACGGTTTTCGATCCTCTCGCTCTACGGCCGACTTGCTAACTGCTGTAACTGAAAGATTTTATCGTGCATTAGATGGAGGCGGTGAGGCTAGGAGGCTAAATATCTAAAGCCTTCGACAAAGTTTGGCATGCTGGTCTTCTCCATAAGCTTGCTTCATATGGTGTTTCTGGGAAAGTTTTTGAGATTATCAAATCATTTCTTTCTGACCGGTTTATTAAAGTCATCCTTGAAGGCCAACACTCTTCTTTATTTCCAGTAACTTCTGGGGTTCCCCAAGGTTCCATCCTGGGCCCTGTTTTGTTTCTTATCTACATAAACGATCTTCCTGACAACCTTTCATCTAAAGTAGCTCTTTTTGCTGATGACTCAACTTTATACTCCTGTCTTGACAAAAAGTCTTCTCTTTTCGATCGCCTAGAACAAGCAGCTGATCTTGAATCTGATCTCACTTCAGTAATAGATTGGGGTTCACAGTGGCTTGTGAATTTCAACTCTAAAAAAACCCAATTGCTTACTGCAAACAACTACCGTAATATGGTCAACATTCCTATATTAATGAATAGCAATCCTCTTACTGAGTCGTCCTCTTTACGTCTTCTTGAATTATCGCCTACTACTGACCTTTCATGGAAACCATATATACAATCGATTGCTAAATTAGCTTCTGCTAAGGTTGCTTCTCTTTATCGTGCTCGCCATTTCCTTACTTCTGA